ACACATCTGCCTTATTGAAAACAGCTTGTGATCACTTTACAGGATGCTCAGTGGTTCACAGAGATGCAAAGAGAACATTTTTAGAAGTGTGTTGAAGGTGGGACCAATGTGTCCAACAAGCTTCAGGAATTAAATACTGGTCTGAGTTTTACAAGCTGAAACTTAGAGGAGGGCATGGGATTCCAAGCAGGTGGAGTCACATTTCACTGAAAACAGTGAAGACAGTGGTTTTCAGATTTTGAAAACAACTGGGGAGCATCTGTACTTTTGGTTCTTTTTCTAGTTAAAGGCTCTTGGAAAATGTGGGTTGCTTTGCAAAAAAAGTTCACAATGTTGATTGGCATTGGTGAAATATGAAAATTATACTTGCTTTCCAGATTTGATTTTTTTGTGGGGGCGGTCAGTTGTATACATTAAAAAGTCCCCCATCTCCTATATTCAAGTTGCCAGTGACTTCATAATGAATAGGTAAAACAAACATTTAGGAATTCTAATGAAATTAGAAGTCTTGAATAAATATATTTCTCTAGTATAATGTGCTGGCTTCGAAAAAAATGATTTCCTTTTTATTTGAAGTGGTTAGTTTCCAAAGAATAACTCTCATGAAAATAGTTATCTCTTTTGAAATGTCAATGATTTTTTTTGAACTTTTTATTTTGTCCTGGGGTATAGTTGATTAACAACGTTGTTAGTTTCAGGGGAACAGTGAAGGGACTCAGCCATACACGCTTATCTATCCATTCTCCTCTAAACCCCTCTCCCATCCAGCTACCACATAACATTGAGCAGAGTCCCTTGTGCTATACAGTAGGATCTTGTTGGTTATCCACTTTAAATATAGCAGTATGTATATGACCTTCCCAAACTCCCTAACTATCCCTTCCCATTGGCAACTGGAAATGTCAATGATTTTTGTATTAGAAAATCAAAATTTCTTTAAAACCTAAGAAAACCATGTCCTCTTTTGTTACAAACCTTTGTGATTAAGTTAAATAATTAACTTTTTTTTTTTTAGCCAGGAAAAGAAAGATAATTGTTTGTGAACACTAGTTTATTTATAGTACTAACAAGATTGCAGGGGAAATGATCATGCTACCTAAGATAAATTATTTTAAACTTTGGCACACTGTTTTCATAAGTCATACCAAATAATTATTCTCACAACAAATAATTATACTTGATGTGGTCGTACTAGTTTATGCTCGTGAACCCTGCCTGGAATGATGGTGCCAGAGAGGACTCATCTAGTGACCAGATCTATATTTGGCCATTAAAGGCAACAAGTTCCCTGAAAACCTGCATCTGAAAGTAATGAAACATCTAAAAATCTGTCTTTCAGTTTGAACTTCTACTTTTTCCTAACAGTTCCTCATGTCCATTCCATGTTCTTGTCTGCATTTCCACTTCTTCTCCTGGTCTTATGTTTGTTTATTGAGAAAATATCACGTACAGTGCCGGCTCTGTATGAGATATTACCCAGACACTAGCATAAGACAAAGCCCCTGCCCCCAACAGGTTGGCCTTGAAGTGGAGCTGAGACCCACACAAGAGCAAAGCCATGAAACAAGACCACATGTGAACTAGTGCCATGGGAGGTGTAGAGTGCTATGGAATTTCATAGACGGAGTGGCGGGGAGTCACTGGCAGCCTTTGTTAAAGAAAAAAAATGACAGCAGAAATCTTTCCAGTTGCTTTGAGTTTTTAGGGGAATCCTTCAGATTTCTGGGCTTAACTTTCTTATGATAAGTGTTGAGTAAAATCATAACCCGTACTCCATGACTGGCTTGAGGCATGCCCATTCTAAAATGCTTGTGATCGCAGGTTTTAAAATTTGAGACATAATTCAGTCCAGGGAGAGGCCAGTATTTGGCAGGCAAAGAATGAGTATGTCTGCCAGTACTATCAGAGCCCTTTGAAAAAAACGTTTTTTAACATTTGTCTGAATTTGGGAGTGGGGGCAAGTGCCTAAAATGAAAATTTCATCTTCCTTTTTATGATCAAAACCAACTTTAGACTATTAACTAGTTTGTTAGAAATAAAAGTTGGCACAGAATTTGAAATGATTATTATTAAGGGTAGACCCCTGGTTTGGGAGTGGATTTTATTTTATTTCAAGTGACATTACTGTGAATATAGATCTATAGCTGTCTAATCTTGTATGCAGAATAGCAAACTGTTATCAGTAAGTTTCTGGTAGGTATGAAAAATTAACATACAGGAGATAAATTATGATTTCACTGTATATAGCAACTATTGAGAGGAATTCATTGGCGTCTAGAGGGAAACAGTACCTAAAAATTGGAAAGGAGCCTCTGTTGGCCGTTTAAAGTCAGGAGAGTTGACTCAAGTCAAAAGGAAAGGAAAATACCCTGGAATTGAAAGTTAAGTGTTATAAAGATGCCATCAAAGGGAGGTTGTGGAATCTCCTTTTCTGGAAATGTTTAAAAACAATACAGATCTTCATCTCTCAGGAGAAATGTTGAAATTCTGTCCTGCCTTGAGGCAGGAAGATTAACTGGATTATGCCTGTGTGGTCTCTCAAGTCTTTGGAAGAGCCCTAGAATGCAGTAAATATTTCACACTCTTTTAGCTGGAACTGTTGTTTCGTAGCTGTTCATTTTAACCTTGGTTATTATGAGACCAGAGTGAGTGTTTATATACATAACAAAATTGAATTTGGATTTGAGGTTGATGATATAAGTTGTGTGTGGACCTGAATCCATTTAAAAGCACTGAAGTACAGATGGTGCTGAAACTATTCAGAGTGTAACTTAGTCTTTTGATGATGTGGAATGTACCAAGGTCTTAATGCCAGTTATCATTTAATAAATAATTATAAAGCAACTACTGTGGACACTGCATGATACAAATAAGAATTAGGTATGGTCCCTGCTTTCAAGGACCTTTGTTTAGCAGTGGAGGTAAAACCTATGCACAGATCATACACATGGTAAGTGAAAAAATAATTGGTAGGAGTCACAAAAATAGGATTTAACAGTGTTGTGAGAGTGCAGAGAAGAGAAAGCTAATCCCTTTGGGTTTAACCAAAGAATGCTTCCTGAACGAAAAATATATTGGCATGGGCCTTAAGGAGTATGAAGCATTTTGAAGGGTGGAACTGAAGCAAACGACAGGGGTGGAATTATACCTAGTAATTCCGAGGTATGGACAAGTTCAGCTGAAGCATGTGGCTGTTGGGAGGCTTAGGCTGGAACATTCCCTTAGGGCCAGTTTCTAGGATCAGGTCAGAGTGTTTGTTTCTGCGTGCCCAGTGTTTACAATCCCTTGGAAGTGATTAAACCTTCAAGAGTCTCTGTCCACAGGAGGATTGCATTTTACTATTGGGGTTGCATGGAGGAGCGGCGAAGGCTGGGACAAGGAGCCAAGAAAATAGCTGCTGAGTCACCTGAGTCAGTTAGCTTGAGGAGTAGGAGGGTGATGCTGAGAAACACTCGCTTCAGGGCACGTTAATGGGTGTTACTCAAGAAAGGGTCCCTGGGCTTCCCAGGTGGCTCAGTGGTAAAGAATCTGCCTGGGAGACACAGGTTCCATCCTTAGATCAGAAAGATCCTCTGGAGAAGGCAATGGCAACCCACTCCAGTACTCTTGCCTGGGAAATCCCATGGACAGAGGAGCCTGGCAGGCTATAGGCCATGGGGTCACAGAGAGTCGGACATGACTGAGCGTCTCCTCATCAAAAGAAACTGGAGAAATAAAGTGACACAACCAAATGGGTTTATGTATGGATACCAAGGGGGAAAGGGGAGATGGGGAGAATTGGGAGATCGGGATTGATATTTAATACATATACACTGTCGATACTATCTGAAAAATAGATAACTAATGAGAACATACTGTATCGAACAGGAAATTCTATCTAATGTGCTGTGGTGACCTGGATGGGAAGGATAGTCCAGAAGGGAGGGGATATATGTCCATCCCCATATATGTCTCCATGGCTGATTAATTTTGCTGTACAGTAGAAACGCAACTTGGTAAAGCAACTATACTCCAATAAAAATGAATTTTTAAAAAATGGGTTCATTTGCTGAAGACTTTCAGCACCTTTAATGTTGAGAATTGCATAGAAAATCTTAAACAGGGTAAAATATGTACCATTTCCAACATGGTGTAATCTTTATTTCATGGACTGTCTCATGAAACTACTGTTCCTTGGTGCATACTGTGGGGAGCGTTGCCCTGTGCATGTGGTAAAGATGGCTGGAACATGAGTGGTGGTCATATGCATGGAAAACAGTGATTAGATGTGTGTCCTTATGGAGCAGGGAAGCCTGGAGTGCTGCAGTCCATAGGGTCGCAAAGAGTTGGACACGACTGAGCGACTGAACTGAACTGAACTGATAGGGTAGCATCAACTATTCCTAGCGCATAGTAGGCATTCAGTAACTATACAGAAAGCTAAAGCATGCAAGAGTGAATTGATATATTAACAATACTTGGCCCAGGATTGGGAGTCTAAGATTTCTGGAAATGTGGAAAGTTTTGACAAACCTTTAGCTATGCTAGAAATGATAAGGTCATGGAAAGTTAGGTGGGACTGATTTCAGTGAAAGTTGATCACTTTAGTGTTTCTTGTGAAGCCATGGAACACCCACCATGGAAGGTCTGCCTGGTCCACCGTTGCAGCATCTGCTGAAACTGCAGACTTGGGAGACAAGCCATTGTCTTTTCTCACTAAGTGTATAATTTAAAATATTTTGGCTAAGAAGTCTGCTTGTTTGAATGTGGAGTAAGTAGCAATTTTCATATACAATTTAGTCTAATACAAGAAAATAACCTTGTATTTCTTGTAATACAAGAAAATAGCCAATTTAGTCTGAAAGAAACTTCAGGGTTAATAAAGCGTCAGACTTCTGGTTTTTGTTTTTTCTTTTAAATCAGACAGAAGCAGGCATCCTCATCGGTGAATTTTTTTTCAGTCTGATTTACTCATGGAAGTTAATCAGTTTTTAAGTTTAATATTCTGTTCTTTCATCCAGGTATTTGCATTTGATTATTGCTTTTGGTCCATGGATGAATCTAACACTACAAAATATGCTGGTAAGTTGATTGTCTCTCTGTACTTGATGTTGGGCCTCTGGCCTTTTCTTCCGTTACGTCTGTTTTCTTTAATTATTCTGGAGTTCTGTTTTTTCCATAAAATTTGCACTCATTCTTTCCAATTCTAGCATGTGGGCTTTGAATCCAGTAAGATTTGGTTTTAGGATCTGGCTCAGCCACGTACTTGCTAAGAAACTGAAGACAGGTTCCCCCTCCCTGCCCCCAAGCTCCTTAAGCTTCAGATTCTTCACCTGTAAAGGGGATATGAAGTGTCTTTAGAGATGTTCCAAGGATTAGAGATAACAGGGAACCACCTCAAGCTGTCTTGTGGTTATCACACAAAGAGGAGGTTGAATGTGTCCTGTCTTCCCTCATCTCTGACTTGTAGAGGATGCTCTGCTCATTTAAACAAGCAAAGCACAGATGCCATTGGTTTACAGGACCCTCTCACGTCCTGAGTGTTCTAGAGTAGACAGTGGTGATGTGAACTAAAGGTCTTCTTGATCTTCAGGGAAACATGGCCTCCTGGCCCCACATTTTGCTACTGTTCCTTCCTTTTGAGGTATTTTATCCCTACTTCATTAAATACAAATGACTGCTATTAATAATTTTAATATTTGTGATCACAGGTGAATCTTCACCTTTCCTAAAGGAGTTAAAATAAGCTCAAGAGGGAAGCACTTGTTTTAGTGGAGGAGGTCTTCATTCCTTTCCTTCTGACTGTGACCCCTTTTCTTAAATACATCGTCTTAATGAGTATTTTCCCCTTACTTCTACTTAAGAGAAATCTCAGCTGGGACTTCCCTGGTGGTCCAGTGGCTAAGACTCCAAGCTCCCAATGCAGGGGGCCCAGGTTCCATTCCTCATCAGGAAACTAGATCCCACATGCCGTAACTAAGAGTCCACATAACTAACTAAGACCTGTTGCAGCTAAATAAATACATACATACATAAATATTCAAAAAAAAGAATCTCAGTTGAATGACTTTTCCATTTACTGAACGAAAGGGCAAAAGGATAATGGAGAGGCTGTAGATCTTAAAAGATTAGAAGGCAAAGGAAGTCATCTGCTTGTAGGAAATTTTGTTTCTTGATAACCTTTTCCTTGCCATGTAAAGAAAATTTGCTGAGAAATGATTTGATATATAGCTTTTTCAAAAGTTAACCTTGAAGTTGGAAAATTCCTTCCGGGGCTCACATTGGGTAAATAAGCCTTCTTTCCAAACATCATTCCTGCAACTTCAGCAGTGTATTTTATTAATGTGAGTAAATAATTTTTAATGTTGGCTGTAATTAATTTGTCTTTTTATTAGTCCTTTGGGATGCTCGATAATATATTCTACAGTCTGCCTTGACTGTTAGCACTGTGTGTACTTTCATTCTGGATATGTGCTTTTGGATTTAAATAAGACACTTCATACTGTGACAGAAATAAATGAGGACAAATGCTATGGCTATACAAAGCACAGTCTCTGATTCTGTTCAATGGATATTATTCAGGATGTAGTCAGATATAGCTCCCTGGATTAAAACTCTTAACGAAATTCTCGAATGCTTTAGAGGACTCCTCATCACTTATAAATAAAATCTATACTCCTTGGATGACATTTAAGGTCCTTTATTATTAATATATAACCCCCTCTACCTTCCCTACCCACTGCTCCCTGTCTCCCTACCGTCCATTCTGTGCTCCAGCCTGGTGTGATTGTTCTTCTTATTTAACCCAGGAAGCCAGAAAGATTCAAAATAGTTCCTTAAATATTCATCAAACCCCTACTGTGTGTGCAACCAAGGAAGCCCTTGAGCAATTAAAACCTGAGTTGGAAAGCAAAAGAATGCAAACAAATAGCAGTAAGCATTTGGAGATAATATTTAACCTCAAAATTTTACAGGTTGTAAGTACTATAGAAAACCCAAAGAGAGGCAAAACCTGAGAAGACTGAAGTTGCCTGGGAAGAAATCATAGAGGAAGTGGGACTGTAACTGGATGTAGAAGTTTCGCATAGATTTAACCAAAGGGCAGTGTGGAAGGCAGGCTTCCCAGGTGGCTGAGTAGTAAAGAATCCACCTGCCAGTGCAGGAGATGCAGGAGATGCGAGTTCGATCCCTCGGTGGGGAAGATCCCCTGGAGGAGGAAATGGCCACCCCACTCCAGTATTCTTGCCTGGAGAACTCCATGGACAGAGGAGGCTGGCAGATTACAGTTCATGGGGTCACAAAGAGTCGGACAGGACTGAGCACACACACAGTATGGAGGGCATCCCAACGAGAGGAAGCGTATGGTGTCAAGGAAAGCATGTGGGCTCTGAAGTCCACTCTGGTTTAAGTCTCAGGAGGCTTGCTTTGATTCTCTCAGACAATTTAATCTTTCTGAGCTATAGTTTCTTTTCTGTAAAATGGGAAGCATGTCAATGATAGGACTTAGATGTTGTTATAAGGGTTTAGTAGGTACCTTCATGAGCTGACCAGTGGAAGGTGCCCGTAAATACTTCATTTGGCTTTTTCATAAGTGAGGGTGCAGAAGTGAAAGTGAGCATGGTGTGTAAAACTGGTCCAAGCAGAAGATGCATCTTATGGGGAATCAGTGAGAGACTGACTTGTACATGTTGAATGAAGCCAGACAACAGGAAATTTTAAAAAGCTAGGCTAAGAACTGAAAAAAAAAAAAAAAATAGAGGCTGTTGGAGTGATGTGGTTAGTAGAATATTTTAAGAAGATTGTTTTTCTTTCTTTTCCACATCTCTACAATCATGTCCTCCATTAACTGCCCATAGAGACCATCCTAGCATTCTGCAAGGTATCACTCATACTTCTGAATGTAAATTTTTTTCCTACTGGAAATAACTTTATTAAGTACAGATGATAAAATTCAAATGTGAAAGTCAAAATTTCTGTAGCTTTTCACTACATATAGTATGTTGATGAATATATAAAAAGATAAAAATGCTTTCTAAACATACTGATAGCCTAAACTTTACTAAATCTTTGTTTGCTTGATCACAGTAAAGTCCAAGTTCCAATTAGCCTTAAACAGAATTTTCTTGATTGATAGAGTAGAATCTATTTACAAAGTGTGGGGAGAAAGTTTCTTATTCTTTAGACATTCCTGTTATTGTACAAATGCTGTGATCACCTCAGCAGTAAATTGTTGCTCACCACTCTCTCAGGTTTTTTGGCATTCATTGCAAATAATCTGTCCAGTAAATATATTGCTAATAGATTAGTTGAATGGTTTCTGTACTAATTTGATTTACTTTTTTAAATTCAATTTTTATTTTTAAAATTTATTTATTTTTAATTGGAAGATACTGCTTTACAATGTCATATTGGTTTCTGCCATATAGTCAATTTTTATTTTATATTGAATTATAGTTTGATTTCTTTTCTCTTTAGTAAGGAAAAAAAACGTGATTCCTTCTTAATTGTGAATGGAAACATTAAGATAGAAACATTCATTCTCTGATCGGGTATAGAGGAAACGGAGAAGGGGAAGCACATAGTTCCTGAAACCGACCAATTTGTCAGGCTCAATAAAGAATGGCATCATTGATACTGAATCAGAGCTGTTGAGGCAGCTCTCAAAACTCGGGGGGGGCAGAGAGGAGGTGGGAGGGAGAGAGATGAGTGCCTGGACTGAAAGAGCAAAGGGAGCTCTCAATTTCACGGGGTGTGTCAATGTTCAATTCTAAGTTATGTTTTATGTTACTATATTTATTAAGGGCTACTACAGCAAGCAAGAGCTTCCACTCTCAGGCTAATGTAGAAATCCGTAATTCTGTAGTAGGTTTAAGGGCACAACACTGTGTTGGGTGGAGTGGTGGAAGCATGTGGGCTTTTAGATCAAACTGCCTGGGTTCCAGTCCCGCCTCCAGCACCTTTTTATCTGTGTCAGGTCAGGCGAGTTCTGTTTCCTCTTAGGTTACGTAATTATATTAATCCTGCTCCCATAGGTTGAACTGAATGACCTATTCATGTAAAGTACCTTAAACCATAGGAAAAGCTCACTTAATATTTATCATCATCTTTATCACTGTCTCGCTATAGCAGTAGTAAGGATAGTAGCATCAGTATCTTTGGAGAGAAAATGCATTGTATGTGCTGGTACCTATGAGACCTGCTTTTGCCACAGACTGCTAAACTTTGGGAGTGTCTGTTTCTTCATCGGTAGAGGGAGGATCTATGGCCTAGAATGGTCTCAGATCTCCTCCAGCTCTCGGATTAAACATGAATCAGACATTTTATGCTGGCCGCACAGCTGTTGCAGTGGACTTTTCAGAGGCAAATCAAAGGCTTGTTTGTTAAGCCGTTTGAATTGCATTGAATCATGCTTTGAGACACTGCACATTTTAATTATATTATTGCTTATTACTACCTTTTGGTTAGTGAGTCATAATAATACTTGTCTGTGCATTGTTCTGAATCTTTAAGCAAAAACCTCTGTGACGGGGCTTAAAAAAAAAACAAGTAACCTGCAGAATTAGGCATTCAAAACATGGCATTTCTACGTAAACCCATTTCTCCTCCCCTTCCCAAGCCCATAAATACATATACGTAAACATAGATCCACACTCGGGATTAAAAAGTCAAGTAATCCTGCTGAAGGCCCATTATTAAGAAAGCCATTACCTCTCCATTATTTTCAATAATTAAAAAAAAGCTTATTATAGTGAAATTTTAGAGCACCATAACAGATAATAGGTCTTTGTAAATGTTTAAATCACCATTAATTTCATTTAAGGGCTTCTTGGCCATAAACCAATACATTTTTTATCATGTGCCTAAAATGTGTCAGGTTGGTAAATAACAATGACTTCCAGTAAACTTGGTTTCACTTTTCTTCCTATTAGGAGAATATTTTTCATAAACCTGTTTTTCTATAAATCTTCATTCCAAATAGAAATTGGTCTGTGATGGCATTTCTGGGGAATCTATGTGGACGTGAACATTTCCTGACCTGAGAGTCTAAACTGTTGACTTAGAAATTATATAACAGTTCTCAC